ACCCCGCTGTGTGGATTGTGCCTGAGCCTGTGCTGAACTCCTCCAGCCCTGATTTCCCACAGCAGAGCCTCAGATGTCCAACTCCAGGAAAAGGGGATTTAATCATTGAGGGGTACAGCAATGGGAACAGCTCGAGCTGGGGGTCCTGGAGTCACAAAGAATGTGGAGGTACTTGAGCACACCCACCCTGAGCTGCTCTGCCCACCCAGGAGTGTCCCCTGGAGCTGCCAGGAGCACCCATGGACCTGCTCTGGCTGTGCCCTCAGCCCTGGCAGTGCTGGTGCTGCAGCCCCAGCTCTGTCCCAGCCAGGGGCACCACGTGCCTCCAGCCCCGTTGGGGTCTCAGGATCCAGGACATGCCTCTGCTCCCCTGGATCCTGGCTCAAAGAGCTGTGCTGGCTCTGCAGGAGATGCTGCAGTGTGGTCTCTCCTGGAATTGGTCAGGATTCCTCTCAAAGGCTCAGTCTGAACATCCCACAAGGAGCATTCAGCCTGCTCTGCACTCCTGGTGGGGTGGGGGCTCTCCCTGACTCCCCATCTCTGTCCCAGACCCCGTTAGTCCAAGGTGTCTAAGGCTGAGCTGCTCTAAGGCTGAGCTGGGTTAGCTGCTGGCAGGGGAATGCTGTGTTTGAGCTGTCAGTGAGGAGCAGCACGAGGCTGGGAGCAGTGGCAGCAGGAAGGCTTTGGGCTGCAGTTGGGTGCACAGCAGAGCTGCAGGGCAGGATCCTGACCCTTCCTGATCTGGCTTTCCCCAAACTCCATGCGCTGCTCCAGCAGCACCTTCTGCAGGGTGATGTCCTTCAGGACCTGCAGCACCTCTGGCCCTGCACCACCCTGCAGCAGGTTGTAGTTCTCAGCAGGGTCTGACTCCAGGTCGAAGAGCAGTGGGGGCAGGTGAGGGGTCAGCGGGGTCAGCCCATGGCAGTCCTGGTCTGGGGTCGTGTCGCTGTGAAAGGAACCTGCACAACAAACCTTCACGTGAGCTCGGGTCCTGCTCTGGGCAGCAAGAGCTCCCAAGCCTTCCCAAAGCTCCTGTGCCAAGGAAAGGAGGCAGCACTGACCTTGGGTGAAGAAGTGAGCCTTGTACTTGCCAAGCCTGACAGCAAAGGGGCCGTGCAGGGGGTCAGGAGCAGGAGGGTAGAAGAACATGGTCTGACGGGGACTCTGGGGGAGGCAGCAGAGCTCAGCTCACCTGGCTGAAGGACAGCCTGGAGCACCACCAGGAGCCCTGATCCTACAGTCCTAACAGGGCTGCAGAGAGCTCAGATGATGAACAGCAGCCTCCTGTCTGCTGCCTACCCAGAGCTACTGCAGCCATCAGCACAGAGCAGCCTGGTGACACCCATGGCATGAGCCAGGCCAGACAGAAGGTCCCAGCCCATGGATCTCCCCTGATCCCAGCTGGTTCTGCTCCTCAGGCATACAGCTCCAGCCCCACAGCCTCCCTCCATGTCCAGCTGTGCCAGCCCACAGGACTCACCTTCCCCGACCCAAACAGCACAGGGCTCAGGTCGTAGCCATCCAGGGGCACTTTGGGAAGAGCTGCTCTGGCCAGGGCAGTCAGAGTTGGCAGGATATCCAAGGTGCTCGCCAGCTCGTGTGTCACTCCTGTCACCTCACAAGGAAAGGTTCAAGCACTGATCCCACTCCCATCCTGGCCATCCTCACTTCTCTTCTGTCCCATTCTTGTCCCAGGACATCCAAGGTGCTGTGACACCCCTGCCTGGGCTGGCACAAGCAGTGCCAAGGCTCACCTGGAGCGATACGGCCTGGCCAATAAGCCACTGCTGGTTCCCTCATACCACCTTCATACGTTGTGCCCTTCCCACACTTCAGGTGGCCTGAGCTGCCTCCACGTGCCATCCTCATGGTGGAAGGGCTTAGGGAGAGAAGAACCACCACAGGCTCATGCTGCCCCTTCCCTGGTGCTCCCAACTGGGCCATGATGAGGGAGACCTGGAGCCAGCAGCAGGATTTTCCCGGTGGCAAAGCCCCAGCTGAGCCCACTCACCCATTGTCAGAAGTGAAGAACACCAAGGTGGTGTTTTCCAGGCCGTTTTCCTGCAGTGCCTGCAGCAGTTGTCCCACGGAGCCATCGAACTCTGCCAGAGCATCCCCAAAGGGTCCACGTCGTGACTGCCCTGCATACTCCTGGCTCGCAAACTGGGGGTAGTGGGTGTGCTGGGGAAAGGGCAGAGGAGATGGGTACCAAGCCCCAGAAATGCAGCTGGTTCCCAGCTCACCTGGGGACAGGCAGCACTCAGCTAGGACACAGAGCTGACAACACCCATGAGCTGAGGGAAGGCTTGTCCCCAAGCACTTCTCTGCAATGGCACCAAGGAGCTGAGCCACAAGAGAGGACATGGAGCCCCAGAGTGGGAAGTTTTCCCCTGTGGATGGCCCAGAAAAGTGGCCAAAGCTCCAGGAGGAAGCAGCCCAAAAGCATTATCCCAATGATGCATGGGAACAAGAAACCCCAGGTCATACAGGAGCAGGTCCTGGAGCTGCAGGAGCAGAGATGCTTCTCCACTCTCCCCACAGGACACAGGGTCCCCTCCCTTCCCCACCCATGGGCCTGGAGCAGCCTCCCCCCCTCCTACATGGGAGGCATAGTAGAGCAGGAAAGGGAGGCCTCGTCGGGCACAGTCAGCGATGAAATCCCGGGAGAACTTGTTGTAGAGTGGCACCAGGTCAGGGAAGGAGACTGGCTGATGCACAATGGTCTGGTTCCAGAGCAGTGGGAGAGGCACCACACCTTGGTCACAGGTCCCAAAACACTTGATGTCGGGTGGGAAGCAAGTGAGATTCTGGCAGGGGCCCTGGGGAGAACACGGAACACTCTGAGCTGGGTTACAGGATGGGCAAGGGAGGGAAGGGGAAGGCAGAGGAGCAGAGCCTCACACCAGCCCACCACCACCACCAGGTCCCTTGGGCACCCTTTGGGCTGCCACTCCTAGCAGACAAGGGGTCTGTGTCCACGTTTAAACTGCCCCAGGACTGTGCTGCCCCACCATTTTCTCTTGGTAGCAATTGAGACATTTCTTCGTAGCCCAGAAGCCAACCCACACTCCCTCACTTCTTCCCTCCCTCCCTCTACAAAGGACATATGTCCCCACACCCCAGGACACCCTTCAGGGCACACCAGGCTTCTCACCTGGTCATGAGAGTAGGGAACCCCCAGGAAGTGGTCAAATCCCTGGTGGATGGGCAGGAAGGATCCATTGATCCCCACGCCAAGGTGCCACTTGCCAACCATGGCCGTGGCATAGCCCTCAGCCTTCAGCAGCTCTGCGATGGTGACCTCGGCGAGGGGCAGTCCTCCTCGCGAGCTCGGGTCGAACACCCCGGGGTAAATCCCCGAGCGCACCGGGAAGCGACCGGTCAGCAGGGCAGCCCTGCGGGTCAGCCGGGAGGGGACAGAGGTGTCAGGTGCAGTGTCACACCTGCAGGCACACAGTTCATCCGCCTCCCACGGCACTCCTCGGTGTGCCCAGCCCCGGCCGGCGCT